CCTGCCCTTCTCACTGCCCTCAGCCCTCCTGCAACCTGCCCCCCCTCCACCAGCCCTTCTCTCCTCCCTGTGCCCACTTCTCCAGTAGCCCCATTCTGATCACGTGAGCTACCCCTTCTCATCCCCTCTTCTAACACCTCCCTCTACACACCTGCCCTCTCTCTCTTCTGGTGCTGGTCCCTCCCCTGCAGGTGTCTGCCCTTCTGCTTCACCACCAGAATCCCCTGGCACTTGCACCTTCTCTTACTCTTGCACCCTCCTGTTGCCTCCGCCTTCCCTCACTGCCCCTGCCCTCTTTGCCCTCTTTTTCCCTGATGCCCACCCCCTCACCAATCTCTGAGCACTAGGGATATAAAAAACAGGGTAAAAAAGTAACCATTTAACTATTGGAAATCCTGTGGGCTCTGCAGTATCTCCCCCCTCTAGGCCCCAATGCCTTTACCCTCTCCTCTCCCAGCATCGCTCTGTCCCCCTCCCACTGACACCTCCCCTCCTGCCTTTTTCCTCATTGTCTGCACTTGGCCCCCTGGCATTTGTCTCTCCTCTACCCTGTCCTTTTGGTGCCTTTCTTTCCCCTCCCCCTCTGCATAAGCCCCTTCCTCTCCCAGCCCTTCCCCTTCCCCTACCTTCTGCCTTCCACTTTGTGGGGCTGGAGTCTGCAACTCAGCCACACGGCGCAACGCAACGCAGCGCCCAGCAGTTTTAACATCCCGGGCCGTGACGTTACGTCACGCCCGGGCATCTCCCCGCCTACCGGTTTGAGCATGTTATGCAGGAAAGCAGCAGCCAGCAAGAGGGAGCTCAGTGAAGGTTGTGCACGGAAGGGACGGGATGGGGACAGGGGAGAGATGCTCTAGGACCAGGGTGGGAGGACGCGCGGGGGGCTGGGGCTGGCTCCAGTTCCAAATAGTGGTGGAGCATGGGCACCAAGAGCCCATACAACTCGCTGCCCATGCCTCTGCTGGCTAGCCATCTCTCTCTCTTTCAGAGGGGGCGGGGGAGTGCCAGCTCCTCGCGGAACCCCTAGTTTTGCTTTGGGGAACCCCAGGGTTCCCCGGGGCACCAACTGGGAAATACTGGCTTAGAGATCACTTCCTCAATTCCATTATCGTATGTTGTTTACAGCTTTGGAATGCGCATAAACATTTCTGTTTTTTTCTGGGATCCACCCTGCATTGAAATGTCAGAAGCTTGATTTTAATATATAAATCCCTTTTTGGTCTCTTTTAAAAGGTCTAACCCCCTCCCCCACCCTCCCGATGGGCAATAAATGGTCGATGGGCCACATAGGGTTTGCCAGGGTTAGCTCCGGTGGGCCACCACCACTTTATTTACCTGCAGCTCCACAGGTATGGGTGCTCGCAGCTCCCGTTGGCCATAGATCGCAGTTTCCAGCCAGTGGGAGCTGTAGGAAGTTGCGTCTTGGTCCATGCTGTATCCCGCAGCTCCCATTGGCCGGCGATCCACAGACAATGGGCGCTGCAAATGCCCGCACCCGTGGAGGTACAGGTATATAAAGTGGTGATGGCCCGCCGGGGCTAAGCCTGCAGCTAATTTCCCACTCATGGTTTAAGCCTATAGACATTTGTCCTTACAGTATTGAAGAGGTAACGGCTTTGTATGTATCTACCACTTGCTTAATTTTTTTATACTTGTATTTCAGTTGCAGGAGGCTTGGACTTCCCACATGCAATAGTCTGATCCTGATAATGATTCTTTCAGGAGGATTGTTTGCCTTCCTGTTTCTCTTTTCTGCTTCTAGATTCCTTGTGCTATAAAAACAAATTAATTTAAAAAACATATAGTTTATCTCATTAACAATTCATATTGTCAATGTATGACTACATAACATTACAGCTAATGTTTCTGTATCTTAGACAAACGAGGGGATGAGACCACCTTTTTCTAGTGAAAGACACAGAAAAAAGAGCTGTGTGTAAACTTGAAAGCTTATTTGTCTCACCAACAGAAGCTGGTTCAATAAAGATGCAACCTCACCCACATTTTTTCTCCAGTATCCTAGACCAACATGAGTATAACACCACTACATAACAAGTATCTTAGTTACTTTCACTTCCTGTTTCTGTACTCACTGCATCAGGAGGTTGAAATGATTCAAATAGGAATACTAATAATTTAAATCAATCTTAGTATCTGTTTTAAAGAAAACATAGTTAGCCCTCTGTTTAATATGTAAACTGCTGTAAGTGCAGCCCACAACACATTTGTTCTCCTTTTTAACTGTAAAACTGAAGTAGACCATAGGGCAGTACATTACATTTAAAAATACAGCTTACTGAATCTTCCCATCACTCACAGGCAGTAGGAATGAAAGAATGGGATCATATAGTGAGCAGCTTTTTGTGCCGTTGGGTACATGCTTTCCAGCGAAACTAAAAGTGTACCAAAGGAGATGACATCATATTTGTAAACAAATCTTTCTGGCTAATTGGGTATGTAGGATAGTAGATTTTTAAAGCAAACATGGCAAGAGATAATGTTTCTGGAAAAAAGTAATGGTCATCCTTGTTCTGGTATTCATAATTTTCAACCTGTGATTAACAATGGAAATATGTTAAAATTGATAGCAATATTGCTATGATGTGTAATTTAACAGGAAAATAGAAACAATGCTTTGAGACAGACTCCGTAAAAATGAAAAGCTTTGCTATATAAACTGCCGGTTTCCGGCGAGCGTTTGGAAAAAGTTCATATTGTTCACGAAAGAGTTAATTTCCTGTTGTGGTACTGGGATTGATAGGCAGAGGAAATAGGAGGTACCTGGAAAGAACTTAGGATTCCTAATACTGCAGAAGTTGCCTTTCTGTTGGCTTGCCTTCCCTTTGTTTTGTTATTTTTAACCAGACTCTCTAATCTCCGTTTGCCTCTAACCACCTCCCAATTTCCTGCTCCTTTCTTCCTTCTGTGTTTTGTCCAAAAAATTAGATTGTTTTTCACTTCTCTTTTCAGTTTGAGTGGCTTCCAGGAAAGTGGGTTAAAATGAATGCCATAGTTGTTTTTACAGTTTCTATTATTTTCTGCATTTCATGCCTTTTCGCTGCTCTTGGTGTAAGTTTCTTATTCAAAATATCTTACTCTGAGCATTATTTCAACGGGGTGGGTGGGAGATACAATTCTGGCTATTTTTGAACTTTAGTATTTATTACACTTTACTGGTTAATATGTCTGAAGTCATTCAAAATACTCTACTTTTAGCTGTATGATATTGCTTTCCTATTTATGAGTATTATGATCATTTCGGATGTGGAGCTTTTGAAAGATGATTACCATGTTCTTTTGCCTCATTTACCAAAGTTGTATGTTCTTGGATAGCAACAAGAAGAGCCGAAGTATTTGTTTTGTTTTTAAAGAAATATGGATAAAGCGCTTCAAATCTTAATTTGAGGACTATTTCTTCTTCCTCAGCATACTGCTTAATATTTGTTTAAGAATATCAACATGTTGTACATTTGAAGAAAATGAAGCAGCATTTCAAAGTAATTGTTGATCCTAGCAGCAGTGTAATGAATTTTGGATATAAATTACCTACCAATGAAGTAACAGGAAAACATTTGCTTTTCTTTTACAGATTGCTTTCTCACAGCACAGCAACTTTATGGACCTGGTACAGTTCTTTGTGACATTTTTCAGGTACTTTTCATTTTAGGCAGCTAAATATGTCTATTGTTTTAAGAGCACCTTTGACCAATACACTGATTTATAATTTATTACAGTTAAACCATCCTCTTTATCTAACATGTAAGTCCAATGAAATGAAAGTACTACCCTTAACCTTCAAAATATTTTTTCTTAGTAATGTTAAATTAGAGAAATTGGCAGCATGGCAGTGCAAGCATACATCATCCTTTCAATAAAGTTAGCCCTTGTCTACACTGTGAAACAAGTTTATGATGCCATAAGAATGGAATCCACAGAAGCATAATACTAATGTTTCCTCTTCTATTCTTCAAAGGAGATTCTTAACTGAACATGGGAAGTCTCCAGAAGTGATGAAAATTGGTCCTTAGGGTTTCATAAATTGAAAGTCCGGATTTCCTAATTGTAGGGACTGTTAGTATTTCATAACTACAATAACATGAAACTTTACATTTAAGTAGCACTTGGATGTAAACCTTTCAAAGTGAACATTAAAGCCTCGCAACCTTCTGTAAAGTAGGGATACAGAATTGTACTCATGAGTTAACAGGTACAGAAATATCTTGCCTGAGCTTTTTGCACACACTCAGTGAGAGAAGAGATGATAAAACCTAAGAGCACTGACTTGGCATTTCATGAAGATCACTTACCAGAGCTCTTATTGCACAATGTGGATGACATCTTAAAATTGTGCTGTAAGACCACTTTACAGTGGATGCTTATTCATAGTAACACCTTGTAAGAGCAACCGCTGCTTACGAGCATCGTTTTTCTTGGGAACACTTACCTTGCTTTCCATGGGCGACCTTTCCCAGAAGAGCAAGAGGCATTGAAGAGCAATGTAGCAAAAGGGCATCAGTGTTGCACTAATGAGCATCTACTGTGTTGGTTTACTTCCTGTCCCATTCCTGTTGATATGGGGTAAAGTCGTGTTCTCATCGAAGTAAATAAAGGTGGTTCTTCAAGTAATGTCCACGAAAGCGCTCCACTTCAGATATGCATGTGCTTCTCAAGCCCTTCATTGGAGACTTTCTGGTGGAAGTGTCTGTTCAGCGCGAGCATGCACACTACTCAACCATGCCCACGCTCCAAGGGACTGTAAGGCTACATAGTTCTGTTCCTTCTCTCCAATCTCCAGTTCAGACGGAGCCCTAATATGTGTGCCTTATGTGTGCCTTATGTGTGCCTTTGTGCTTTATAGATTAGTTCAGTTTCTAATTAGTGTTACTTGTTAATGTAAGATGAGTTAGATAGATGTGAGAGGGTTTTTTGTTGTCCTCCTCTCTCCCCCCTCCCCCCCAATCATCACCTCCCTCCTCCATTTTTTCTGGTGAGTTAGATAGATGTGAGAGGGTTTATTGTTGTCCCTCCTCCCCCCCCATCATCACCTCCCTCCTCCATTTTTTCTGGTGAGCTGATTTGGCCTGGCTGAGCATGCCTGGCTATCCATGTTTCAAATGCTGCTTCTCTTGTCAGGAGGCTGTTCCAATCACCAACAGCCACTGTAAATGTATCCGTTGCATGGGAGGGTCCCATATTCATCACTTCTGCCTGGCTCTAAAATCGAGAGCGTAGAAGACCCGGGAGACCAAACTGAAGCCAGTGTTGATGTAAGGTGGCTGGAAAGCTGGCTAGATTGTCAGGCTCAACGGGTAATGATGTCTGGCTGGCGATCGGTTTCAAGAGGAGGGCCCCAAGGACCGGTTCTAGGGACAGTTTTGTTCAACATTGTTACTAAGATCCTGGATGAGGGGATGGATTGCACTCTCAGCAAGTTCGCAGATGACACTAAACTGGGGGAGAGGTAGATACGCTGAAGGGCAGGGATAGGGTCCAGAGTGACCTAGACAAATTGGAGGATTGGGCCAAAAGAAATATGATGAGGTTCAACAAGGACAAGTGCAGAGTCACTCTGCATATAGCCCTCCCTCCGATTAGCTGCCTCCATTTCCATGTTCAAAAAATAAGCCCCTTTCAGGCACTTAGTGTTTTCCTGGCACAACTAAGCCCTGACCTTGCCTCATGTCAGGGTAAGACGAAGCTGCCTACCAAATTTGGTGTTCCTTGAACAAATGGACTTACAGATGGGCAGACTCACAGACAGACACACACTCTCTAAAATGTATTGCGATATAGTTAAGAACATAAGAACGGCCGTACTGGGTCAGACCAAAGGTCCATCTAGCCCAGTAGCCTGTCTGCCGACAGTGGCCAGCACCAGGTGCCCCAGAGAGGGTGGACCGAAGACAATGATCAAGCGATTTGTCTCCTGCCATCCCTCTCCAGCCTCTGACAAACAGAGGCCAAGGACACCATTTTATCCCCTGGCTAATAGCCTTTTATGGACCTAACTTCCATGAAATTATCTAGCTTCTCTTTAAACTCTATTATAGTCCCAGCCTTCACAGCCTCCTCTGGCAAGGAGTTCCACAGGTTGACTACACGCTGTGTGAAGAAGAACTTTCTTTTATTCGTTTTAAACCTGCTCCCCATTAATTTCATTTGGTGTCCTCTAGTTCTTCTATTTAGGGAACTAATAAATAACTTTTCTTTATCAGCCCTCTCCACACCACTCATGATTTTATATACCTCTATCATACTTTATGTCCCTCAGTCCCCTCTTTTCTAAACTGAAAAGTCCCAGTCGCTTTAACCTCTCCTCATATGGGACCATTTCCAAACCCCTAGTCATTTTGATTCATAAATTTGGCACGGTCACAAACACTCCAGCTTAGTAAAATAGAGAGACCACACAACATATATCTGTATATCCATATACTCATGTCATCTCCTGAATAGTAATTTACATTCCCCATCATCACCAGTGGCCATCATTTTGGTACCCCTACATTCCTTGTTTAGTTTGGAAAAAAGAAGATTAAGGTGGACATGATAGCGGTTTTCAAATATCTAAAAGGGTGTCACAAGGAGGAAGGAGAAAATTTGTTCCTCTTGGTTTCTGAGGACAGGACAAGGAGTAATGGGCTTAAAGTGCAGCAGGGGAGGTTTAGATTGGACATTAGGAAAAAATTCCTAACTGTCAGGGTGGTCAAATATTGGAATAAATTGCCAAGGGAGGTGGTGGAATCTCCCTCTCTGGAGATATTTAAGAACAGGTTAGATAGACATCTGTCAGGGATGGTGTAGGTGGAGCTTGGTCCTGCCTTGAGGGCGGGGGGCTGGACTCGATGACCTCTTGAGGTCCCTTCCAGTCCTATTATTCTATGATTCTATGATTCCCCATCATCACCAGTGGCCATCATTTTGGTACCTCCCTGGAACGTCACCTACTTCTCCTACGCCCCTAGGTTTAGATGCCTCTTGTATAATATCAACAAGCAATCCTGTGGCACTTTAGAGACCCGCCTCTTTTATGTTCCTGGTGATTCTCTTTTTGGTATGCTTTTATGCATCCCCTTACCTTGCTTTATGGTAAGACGGCAGCTGCATACCAAATCTGGTGGTCCTAGCTCTCACTATTTAGGAGTTCTTGAAGCAGCTGCATACCAAATCTGGTGGTGCTAGCTCTCACTGTTTAGGAGTTCTTGAACAAATGGACTCACACAGGCACAGAAAGTTTCTAAAATTTTAGTAGGATTGTAATAAAACAGCCCGAAGCTGGGAATGGGCGATGAGGAGGGATCACTTGATGATTCCCTGTTCTGTTCACTCCCTCTGGGGTACCCGGCATTGGCCACTGTTGGTAGGCAGGCTATTGGGCTAGATGGACCTTTGGTCTGACCCAGAATGGCCGGTCCTAGGTTCTAAATAATGAAAAGCATAAGGAAATAAGAAATCCATAAGAAAAAAATGTATAGGCGAGCAAGCAGTTTATCCCTATAAGCTACATGATCCTCCTTGAAAATGAATGCACAGGCTGTATTTTTGTTATCATTATCCCCCGCAAGCCAGACTGCCTAGAAGCCTCACATCCGTGCCTCACTTTCTTTCCAGAGGCCTATGATCCGTGTATTGCCGAAGTAATAATTTATCACATAACTTCTTCTATGCAAGCACATTTATTCTTACAGTGAAAGTAGTACTGGGAAAACACATTTAAAAGCACCAGAATAGCTCTTGAAAGCTTGCCCGAGGCCTCCCCAGCTCAAGCTCTGATAGGTGTCTTCCAAACTACAGTTGGATTATCTTGTAGCTCCAAACCATCTCCGATTCGGAGCTAGAACCTGGGCTAGGCAGTTAAGCCTCTTCTTTATACAGCGCAGGCCTTGGCTCTCCAGGAACATGTAAATCTTTAGACAGTGACCCATTCCTCAGAGCATAGCTTCTGATTTTTGCTTACAATTTTTGCTTACCTGAGGTGATGAATTTACATTAATCTCTCCCTAGGTATTTCCCAAAAAATCCAGTTCTCCCATATTGTCTTCTTTGCAGATTGTTCAGTATAGTCTTGTATCAACCACCTCATTTCATATCTCCCTTGTGGAGAAGTTACTTGCAGGCCCAGCTCACAATACTACATGAACGTTGCAGTTATGATGGACCCCAAAGATACTTGCACTTAATTCTGTATATTCTCCCAAGGATATCCAGGAAATTGCCATATTGACCACGCTGGGTTCTCCCATCTCTGCCACTGACTTGCTGTGTGACCTTGGTCAAAAAATGTCACCTATGTTTCCCTTGCTCATGCCCCTGTTTGTTGTACTGTTGTGTCTTCTCTATTTCGATTGTCAGTTCTTCAGGGCAAGGATTCTCTCTTATGCATATGTGCACCACCATGTACGGTGGCCCACCCACTATCTTGGTTGGGGCCTGTAGACCCTACTGTAGCACTGATTATGGAACTTTATCAATATTGAATGTCACTTGGAGCTTTCCAACGGCTCCTGTGTCTATCTGGGTGTGTTAAGCTCTTCAGGACAAGGGCTTTCTGAGTTGCATAATACCAAGCATGTAGGTAGCACTTAATTACAGCTGAGTTTCTGCAAATAATACTTAACCCAAGTTATGAATAGTTTTCGTCTAATTTTGTG